AACCAAAACCCAACAAAAAAGGTGAGAAAATTAATCTACAACCTTAACAGTCTAATTTAGTCACTTTCACTCAACAGTAAAATATCTTAATCTATTGACATTAAATTAAGAACACATTTTCTAAATAGTTATTTTAATGTAACAAAATATTGTCATTTAATATTTATTACAAGTTTTTTAATTTTGAAATTTCATAACTTTTTGTAACATAAAAAAGCTTTACAATCTTGACATTTATTTACCGTGTATCTAAAAACTTAAGCGTACACAACAACAACTGTGTTGTGTTAAAACTACAACTTTTTTGGGTGTTTTTTTTAAAAATATTATCATATCTAATTATTTTTTATACATAAATTTCTGAACAGTGCAATAACATCTTTTTAGATTTAAAAAAAATAAGTAAGTAAAACCTAAAGAAAATGTTATTGCTCAAAATTTTTCCTCTTACTTATCCAAGAACTTATTTGTACTCATAAAATTAATACACCCTTTTTTTATGTTATGCTCTTCCCATTTGAACAGTACTGGTGACTAAACTGTTGCAAGATTGGTGGATTTACTCATAATTAGTGTGAAAAATCAAACTTGAACCATCTAAATTAACTTACTCAAGATCCATGCTGTTGCTAAACCTAATATTTTGTTCCAAGCCAGCTCAGATCACTTGCTTGTTGATGAAGATAAATACTGTATTTAACTATATATATACAATAACACTAACTATCAGCTAATAGGAAAAGACTATCATGCGCAATAAATAAAATTGAGGACAGTAATTGGTTCTAAAAACTTGTGAATGACAACATTTGTGATGAATTAATTGTGTAACATTAAATCACTCATCTATTGCACATGAAGTAAAATTTCAACATCGGTATTATTTTTTATACTATTACAGTTCTTACAAACAGGATTTGAAAAAAGATATGTTGGTTTAAAAACATGAATAGGACATTACAAACCAGGTATTACATCATATCGTAATAAATGGAATACACCATACTAAAGTGTATGGCTGGAAAAAAAATATTGTATATCATCTTCTATCAAGGTTACAAAGTCCAAAAGATTGGAATTACTTTTTGGAAAGTAAAATTCTCTTCTAGAATTATAAGATCTAAATCTTTGGGACCGTAAACTAGTTTAAAGATAATCCTATATATACATCTTAGTAGTTTTATCACTTATATATGACATTTTTGTTATTTTATTTTGAACATTGATCTATTTTAAAAATAAACATTTTATCTGTTTTAGTGAGAAAATATTTATTTTGTAAATTATTAAAAAGTGCGGTTGAAATTCTCAAGGTACTTGGCTGCCACCTCTCATTTGAGTCTATGAAAATTAGTAAGTTCTTAATTTGGCAGGTTTATTGAATACGTGTGTATAAAGACATACAGTTTTTTCAATTGAACCATTGTAATTTTTTTATATATATATATATATA